AAATAAGAGATCTTTCAAACAAGGGCTCCAAATTATCCCTAATTAGCAATTAATCATCAAATATCATCCAGGATGATAGTATATCATCCTGTATGATTAGTTCAACTTGACGAATATCGACCAGACCATCGCATTTGATAGATGTCTAGACAATGGAAAAATAACTAGATCATTCAGGAAGATCTCATGATCGTCTAGGCCGATTAGTATAAATATGAAAAATATCTTTCAGAACATCGCCATGAATGAATGTCTAGATGATGAAAAAATAACTTGATCATCCAGGTCGATCTTTAATCATCCAAAAAGAATTAAGGTTTGTAAACTAATCATCACAGATGATCCTACGATCGTCCATGCTGATATGATTGAGCAATCAAACCCTAATTGCTTTCTTTAATTACCAGATTAATTTATGCATAATTACACTACATCATCTAGGATGATGTCGTGGATGATATACCAAAAAAAAAAGATATCTAAATAGATATAGCGGTTGATTCTTTTTAATTTGAGCCTATCATCCTGAATGATGCTAATATCGTCCAGGATGATTTGCTTAATTATGGTTGCCTTAACCATGATGCCCTAATTAGGGTTTTTATTTTCAATTAATTGTCCAGGCTGATTTGTGGATCATCCAGGATGATGTGATCAAAAATAAAAAAACTCTAAAATAGTCAAAAATTCTCCTCCAAGTGTGTGTGTTCAAGATTAATTAGCATCATGACCATAATGATACAAAGGACTCAAGAAAAGGTAAAAGACACTTATTGCACATTACAAATTGACTCAATCTTATTCTACCCAATCTTGAGCTGGTTCAATTTATAATTTGATCTTGTGGACCTGAAAAGTTAGTGGGCAAGGCAATTATAGAAAAATAGAAATGTTTGTTATCATCAAAATTCTATTTCCTAAAATCAAATTCGCAACAATAAGAAGAAAATGTTGATGTAGGCTCCAAATGCCTATTTCTAATTTCAACATTTATACTTAAGGATATGAATAAAATGTGATTTTATTAATATTAAGAAACTTTTTACTAAGTAATTTTTAAAATATTTTAGAATATTCCATTCTAGGTATATTAATAATAAGAAAGTAAAAAAAAATTATAAGTTTTATATATACAAAAAATTGAGTATTTTTCTACATACATGATATTTACAGCGTTGGCTATAGTTTACTAAATATTTTAAAATGATGGTATAAATATCTCCTATGAATGTTTTCAAAATGATGAAAGCTAAGTACGTATATAAACTTCACATATTGACTCATAATGTATCATACATAAGTAAATTCATACATGTTCATGTTCATGTTAAATGTTATATATATATATTTTATATATAAGTTCTACATATGTGTAACATGTTATGGTGGAAGTTTTGATGTTAAAGATGTTAAAGTACATTATAAATAATGTTTTAATTTTCTTTTTTGTTCTATTTTTTTAATGTTTTTAATACTCCATATACCCTATCAAGGAATGAGGTGATCAAGGGATACATAAATGAAAGTTCGATTATAAGGGGAATCGGGCATGGGTCTACTCCACTTTCCTTGTGCAAGTTGACTATCCAAAAGTGACATAAGTAGAAGTGGAGCTATAAATTGGCATTGGGACTGGTATATCATCATGTATAAGTTGCATTACAAGTTTATCAAGTATTATATGTTGAAATACTTATTCAAGTTAAATTCAAGTTTAAGCAAATCTTTCTAATGTTAACAAGTATGCTCGTGTTCATGTTTTTTATACATGTTCAAGTTCAAGTAATTTATATATGTCACCCTTCATGCTTCAAACAATCACTAGCCCATGACCTTTTATCATTTGGGAAATAGATTTCATTAGTGAATTTTCACATTCTCATAAGTAAATAAGGTTTATCATTATTATGTTTGACTACTTTTTTAATTGGATTGAGGCAGTAACACTAGCTAAGAAAATTGTCAGGACCATTCACAACTTCATATGATTATATATCATTTGTCAGGATGGATTACCTCTCACAATCATTACTAACAATGGGCTACAATTTCTAATAAAATATCAAAGTAATCTAGTATTCTCAAAGGGATTCACCTCAAATTTACCTCCTTGCATTATCCCTACACTACTAAGTACATTGAAATAACAAACAAGTAAATCCTAAATTTATAAAGAATGAAGAAGCCAAAGACAAATGGGTGGAGATATTACCTTCAATCCCATAGGCATTAAGGACCACAATATTCTTAATGAAAAGCTAAACTCCATTTGCATTCTCTCATAGAACTAAGGCCTTATTACCGGCACAGTTTGAGTTACATGACAAGGAAATGGTCACTATTATTGGCTTTAAGGAAGAATTTATTGAGTAAAAAGAAAAGAACAAAAAAGGCATAGAAATTGTAATCAATCTTCTAAAACAACTCAAAACCTAAGTCATACTTAAATAAGAAGAGACAAAAAAGGATTGACTAAATACAACACTAAAAAAGTCAAGGAGATGGACTTCTACCATAACAACCTAATGTTAAGAAAATAGATGCAGTATTTCACCAGTCAATACTAGGAAAGCTCAAGTCAGCTATAGATGTACTCAGGAAAAGAAGTGCCATGAACATAGAATGATGATAAATCAAAGACCTTATATTAATAAAGGAAGTTATTGTATTCATTTTATCCATCCATTATAATAATTTAAAAATTCTATTTTCTTATTTAAGTTCCTTTCTACCTAGTGAGTCCAACATAAAAATAAATAAATAATAAAAACTTTCAATAATTATTCCTCCTTACTAAAGTGTTTGTACTCGAATTATGTAGGAAAAACAAAAATTACAAGTGTTGGATAGCACCGAAGCACCATCAAAAATATTGTTGTCATGCTTGATCGATAAATATAAAATTGCTCATTTCAACACTGGCGCATCAACCTTCTCTTTTTACAAGTTCCAAGGTATCACAGATATTAGTGCCACAACTCATTAATGTGTTGTTGCATCCAAAATTGGCACTGCATCATTAGGTGTCTTGGGAAAATCTATATAAGAGTACCAGCATATCAAACATTGTAGCACTGAAATGTTGTTTCAAGAGCCGAAGTGATATTTTTATGGCACCATAGTGGGGAAGTTAAAACTTCTAAGAGCTATGCCAATTTAGTAAAAAGATACACTGATTCTAGCAGTAATTATGTCAGATCATCTTTTTTTTTTTTGGGTAAACCCGGGGCCAAAGCCCATGAATTAGATTAAAGAGTTCAAATTACAAAACCTGTGGGAAGAGAAAATAAAAAACAGAAGTAACAAAATTTACACAAAGAGAAGACAGGAAAAGTAAGAGAAGAAAATTGGACAAAACAAAAGGACTCAGAAATAAAGGCAGCTCCGATTCAGCCACATAAGCAGTTGAAAATCATAATTCCGATGCTGAAGCAGTGGTTGCCATAAATAACGAAGATAAACCCATGCAAAGAACCAGCAGAAGGCCGTCCGAACTCCTCCAGCAAGCATTCCCACGTACGAGCCTGGTTGCCTCAGAGGCCGTCCAAGGCTCATGGAGACTGACCTTGGTCATCATAGTCTGAATGTCTAAAATTCCCCACAATTGCTGTATGTTATCTTTGTAGTATACCCGAGAAATGATGGACTGCAGAATAGCAAACGAACTGGATTTTTCCTTGGGTTGAAACAGAACAAAATCCCAAAAAACATCTTCCCAGGTCTGAACTATAAAGAAGATCCAAAATTGTGACAGGGGTAAAAAACTGTCACTGCAGCCAGCCAAAAAAGAATAATCCACAACCTTGCAGCTGCACAAAAAAGACCACCAGCAAAACCAAAAAACAACGGGATTTATATGCCCGAGAACTTGTGAAGTAAGGTGCTTGAGTTTTTCCATTTTGAAATTTTGAGTCTGATAACCTCTCTAATATTGCAAATAATTTTAGTCACATTGTTTTTCTCAGAAGAAAATCGTCTATTGTTCCTTTCCCTCCATATGTGATAAATAGTACAACTTGTAATTAAGTAGCATAAATCCTTATCAGTAGAACTGTAGTGTAAATTGTGATCAAAAAAATCGAATAACTGCAGTAATGTAGGTCTTAGAAAAAAGCCATTCAACTCCGGCAACACCATTTTGAGAATGTAAAATGAAAAATCACATGCGAAAAATAGATGTAAGTGAGTTTCCCTAAAGCCATTGCATAAAGAACAGTTAATAGGCACTTGAATTCCTCTTAACAAAAGATTATCTGCGGTTTTAAGCTTGCCAAGCACAGCCATCCAAGTGAAGCAAGCGAATTTGAGTGAATGTTTTTTGTGCCAAATGAAGGGATGCCAGTCAACCGTAGGGAATGTGGAATAGAAAAATTCAGTAAAATATTTAAACAACCATTTAGAACAACCATTCCAAAGGACCTCATTCTTCTCCGAGAAGATCACAGACGTAATAGAGTTCGAAACAGCCAATGGAATAAAAGTAGGAATAAGCCAGTTGCCATTCGTAATAAATTCTTTAACCCGCAAATCGTCAGAACCTTGAAAATTAATAGTTTCAGCAATCGGTTTACCAGAAATCCAGGGATCCCAAAAAAATGAATAATCACAAAATGGAGACACCTTGAAAGTAATCACATTCAAAATCTTGGATGCCGCCAGTTTAATTCTAACCCAAAAATTGGATGCATAATTGGAGGGTTTCCATGGGGAGCAATATTTAGCTTTGTACCAATAACTCAAAAGATTTTGAGAATTATAGAATCTACCAATGATAGAACAACAGACCCCAAAAGTTCTTTGAGGCAATGTTCTGCATTCCAATACTCATATTTGAACATCTTTAATATGTTGCCTTCCTTGATTCAAGATTAAAAAATATTTGTTTCTGTGAATGCATAGCATTAATTTTAGCTATAAATTATCTAGAGTTTCACTTTTTGTTTTTAAAAATAATATCTTATGTCCGGCGGTCTGTGACCTAATTATAAACTAATCAGCAGGGTACCGATCATCTGAATCCTACCGAGATGGTTGACCACTTAAGAAAGGGCATGGGTATCTTTGGGCAGGTTTGTTTCCATAATTTTGGTCAAAATCTCATTAAATTTTATACTAGAGAGTTTAGATTGAGACTTTACATTTTTTGCTTTAATAGATAATTCATATCGAAGAAATTAATGAAAAATTGGCTGTCCATGTGGATGTCCCTAATAACCTTGCAAATGTCTCAAAAGCGGCCCTAAGAAGGATAGGAATAACCAGATTATACAGCCATCAGGTATTGTTGTAGTTTTTCGCACTAGTTTTAAGTAGGTCTGTACATTTTGTCACTGTTTACTTTCCCTCATTATGCAGGCTGAAGCTATAAAATCTTCTCTTTCTGGAAATAATGTCGTTGTGGCAACATCAACTTCTAGTGGAAAATCCCTTTGCTACAATATTCCTGTTATTGAGGCACTCTCAAAAGATATGGAAGCATGCGCTATTTATATATTTCCTACGAAGGTAACTTATCTTTTCCTTCTCTTCATAATATAAACCAATATGAGCTTTCTTTGTCTGCTTTTGCTTTATATGATTCAAAGTGAGAATTACAGAAGCAAATTTTCCTCTTGCTACATTTAGATTTCTGCTTTCATTAGTTGCCTGAAAGAGTGAATACATTGGTTTATTTTTCTCTTGAAACATATTTTCACCTGCAGGCGTTAGCTCAGGATCAAATGAGAGCTTTGATGGAGATGACAAGTGGATTGGACATTTACTTAAATGTTGGCATCTATGATGGAGATACCTCTCAAATGCATCGCACCTGGATTCGTGATAATGCCCGAGTGGTATATTAGGAGTTTCTTTATGTTTCAACTGTATGAGACTTTCTTTTACAATATTTTTGGTTTAAAACCGGTGTTCATCACTACAGTTGATTACAAACCCAGACATGTTGCATCTCTCTATATTGCCCTATCATGCAAAATTTCAACGGATTTTATCCAACCTCAGGTAGAATGACTACATTTCACAATGGTCTATTTCTTTTAGCAGAATATATAAATGCTCTATTTTTTATTATATATACATAAATTTTATTTAACTTGTAGGTCAAACTTTGAAGTAAATTGTGTATGATTTTTAATTTACATTTTGAACATTCTTTACTGAACAGAAGAAAATATATTGCTCATCAAAATTACGTAGTAGAAAATCCTTCATCCTGTCAATACTTCCTCTAATTAGTACATTGTTTAGGATCATTGTGATTGATGAAGCTCACACTTATAAAGGAGCTTTTGGATGCCATACTGCACTTATTCTGAGGAGGTTGCGCCGAATTTGTTTGCATGGTAAATATTTCCTCTCGTTTTCTTGAGTGAGAAGGATTGATATTATGTGCTCCTGCTACTTTTCTTTCCATTCAAAATTCACTTGCCTTTCATCCCATTTACAGTACATGATAGCAATCCTTTGTTCATATTCTGTACTGCAACATCAGCAAACCCTCGTGAGCATGCCATGGTATGTTTTGGTAATGAAATTCAAACTTTAGATATGTGATTTTTATGAGGGCTTGCTTAAGCATTTTAATTGCTATTAGCCCTAAAATGGGGAAGATATCTTGATGCCTTATGAATTTATGGTGGTGTTTTTATCACATTTGAGTGGATAATGCAAACCTCCATGTTATATGTTTTAGATCTTACGATTACTGCATTTCCTTTTGCTGCTGCTTATAGATCAACTAGTTAGCTTTGAAATGCATTTTTCTCGTCAGTTAATTTTGCATTGTGCAACATCAATGTTTGATGGCGAAGTTGTATAGCAGCTTTCCTTCTGTCGTATTCTTCATTTCAATATCTGTGTTCAAGTAAGGTTATTATCTGTCTTTGAAATTTGTTTTGTTATGGTAATTCCCTTTGAATTTAATGATTATGTTATTGACTATTAATGTCTGGTGCTTCTCTTAGGTTATTTCTTGCTTAACAAAATTTCATTCCTAACTAGACGACTTATATCCTTACACCATCAATCAGTCTTAGTAAGAAGAGTAATTGCTGCACTTTGTACCATCATAAAAAATGCGTGCAGAAGGATATAAGAAGATTCGAGAAAGACATAATAAGCATGGGATATATTCAGTGACATCCTTATTTTGGTCAATCCGGCCTTAGTTAAAAATTGGATAAACCAGGTGAAATTTGAAGCCTTCATTAATTGGTGTGTACCAATGCCTCAGCCATGCAATAAGAAATTACTTGGCCCAAATCTCCTGAACAGGTGACATAATAATGCTTGCGTGAATATGTTGACCTCGATAACCACCTGGAGGTTGTATCACACAACAAAAATGGTGAACGAAAGATAAGACTCCGCACAAATGCTGCCCAAAAGCGTCGACGAAAATTCAAAATTATTCGAGCAGTATTTGTTCTTAAAAAAGGTTGTGAGGATTTGCGTGTGCTCGCGAGGTGACGACATAATGTAGATTTGCACGAACAATGAGAGTTTTATAAAATAAAAATAAAAAATATAAATAAAATACTTTTAATAATAATAATAATAATAATAGTTAAATTAAAAAGAGAAATAGAAAGACCACCCTCACCTTCCCCTATGAAAAAACATTGCTTTGATTCATTATGAAAAAATATCTTACCAATAAGGGTGTAGCACTTGACCTCTGACATGTGATTTTATTGCTAAATGACACCGAAGATTAATATTTATGACTGAGGCCCTCCGGCCAGATGGTCAAGCTCATTTAATGAGCTTGAACTCGTCTGGCTGTATAAAAATCAAGCTCGAGCTCGTTTAAAAAGCTCGAGCTCGAACTCGAATTTTTGTTATCTTAAAAAATTCTTAAGAAAAATGTATATTAAAAATTTTTAAAAATATATTTTAAAATTGAGTTACTAGACGAGCTAACGAGTTGATCAAATTGAGCTTGAACTTGAGCTCGGTTAGTAAACGAGCTCGGTTACAGGCTTGAGCTCAAACTCAAAACTCAATAAGCTTGACTCGTGAGCTCGTTAGTGAGTCGAGTTTAAGCCGGCTCGGCTCACTTACACCCCTAGTTCTCAAATAACTAAAAAATTCTTTAGTAATGAATTATAGGATGTACTTGATAGAGCACAAAGATTGTACATTTAAGTTTTGATGTATAGAATGTCATCAAAAGCATCCAAAGGCAACACTATCAAGTTGATCTTCCTAGTCTATGCAAAATTCATTCATCATCCACAATCGTTTGTCAAAGGTCATAAATTTGAGAATAATCTGAGATTACAAAATGCAAATGTTTTGTCGAGCGTATCACTTTGATTCATTATGAAAAAAATCTCACCAATAAGGGCATATCACTTGTCCCCTAACATGTGATTTTGTTGCCAAATAATTCCGCAGATAGATATTTCTGATCGGGGCCTTTTAACCAGATGTTTTTGTCACAAAATGATATCATTAAATTATGATCATCCATGAGTTCTGAATTGACTAAAAAATTCATAAGTAATGAATTATAGGATGTATTTGATAGAGCACAAAGATTGTACATTTAAGTTTTGATGTATATAATAAGCATCCAAAGGCAACACTATCAAGTTGATTTTCCTAGTCCAAGTACACATAAATAGTACTTGCCAATAATAGATTATGCCTATAAGTTCACCGACTATGCCTTGTCAGGAGCCTTTCCTCATTTACAAGCTTAGTTTGTCCAACAACTTCTCCACCGCGATGAAATGGCCAGTAATAATGTCCAACATTACCTGTAATGTTAACATTGTCGATAACAACTTTAATTCAGAGGCAACATTACTTAACTCCAGCAAAAGTTGTTATGGATTTGCCAATGTCGTCACCTCTGATTCTGCTTCATCTTTAGAAGTTTGAGCCATAAAGGCAACCACGTTTTAACTTCTCAATTATGGGCAACCGCAAGCTATGTGAGGTCAGGCATTTGCTTAAATGTTTTGTTCTGAGATTTAAACTCATTTGAATTGTGTCGATTACCATCTCGCTGCTTGAACTATTTGTTTGAGTTCTTCTTAGCCTTGTCCTTCTACTTGAATCTTCTTGGTATAATTCACTTTTTTCACCTTGAATTGTGTCTTTTTAGAATTCACTCTGCAACTTTAATTGCAGCTAGCATGACCAGACATTTTGTCTTTGCAACTCCTCTTGAGCCCACTATATCTATCACCACATGGACTTAAAAATCTTGTCTTCATTTATCATATTCTGAATCTCCAACATCAAAGAACTGAACTCCTTAATACTGTTTAACACTTTTCCAATTTATTTAAGCTAGGTGCATTATGTGCAGCCAATGCCAAATTTCTAAGAAGGAACTGCTTTCACATAGCAAAATATATTTTGCCCACCTCACAGGTAGCAATAAAATATTCTCCATGGAAGGATCATTCCCCATTAAAGTTTTGCATCACCCACAAGATACATGCTTGTGATTGTTACTTTATCAACATCAGCAAAATAAGTAGCAACAAAGTATTGCTCAAAGTCCCTCTGGAAGTTCTCGATTTCCCGTACTTTCATCTATCAACTAAATTATTTTGGTCCAAAATTTTCATCTTCTTTAGGGCCTCACTCTATTTGTGGTTATGTCAATGCCCTCCACATGCCAACAAGTTTCATTTACAAGTCATCACACCTTTGAGTTAGTGATGCCACCTCTTTCTCAACAAATCTATGCAGGATCTCAAGTTGTTGGTGTAAATCCAGCAAGCAATCTTCATGACTTCTTTCCTTATGGGGGGAAGAGCTCCCATCAAAATCTTCGATAGAATTGAATTTTTTTTCCCACCGTCAAGATTTCACAACTCTTATGTTTGATGTCAATTTTCACAGGGCTTAAGGTTCACCAAATTTATTTTCTTTAGTGAAAACCACCTATTAGGCAATTTATGTAACAGCTCAAACTCTTAACTTTCGAGATATTGTCCGCTTTAGCTTAAGGGCCTCATGGTTTTATTCTATTGGTGTAACTTTCCAGGAGATTACCCATCCCAGGATTTCTCTAGGATAAGCACACTTAACTACGGAGTTTCTTTAATGAAATTCCAACAATTACACAAAAAGACGCTTCAATGTTTAAGAGTTTAGCTTTTTTTTACTTAAGAGGTTTTACAATTTCTCCCACTTAAGTAACTGACATTCTCGTTAGTATCTTTATCCCATAATCATCCACCAGTCAGATAGGATTCTAGAGGTGACCACCCTACAAGTTCAAGTGGTGACTCCCACCACGTAGCACTTTGTCCCATACAGGGTTTAAGAGGTGACTCCCATGGCATAGCACTTTGTCTTGTATAACTCTTAGTTCTCATCTTTCGGCTGGTGTATTGCTTTGATACCATTTGTAATAGCCCAACTCTTAACTATTGAAATATTGTTCATTTTGGCCTGAGGGCCTCACTGTTTTTTCCTGTTGGTGTAACTTCCCAAGAGGTCACTCATCTCAGGATTTCTTCGAGATGAGCACGCTTGACTGCGGAGTTCTTAAACGAAATTCTAACTATTACATCAAAATGCGCCTCGATGTTTAAGAGTTTAGCTTCTTTTTATTTAAGGGGTTTCACAATCTATAAATCAATTTAGATTTCAGCTTTCTCCTAATTTACACCCAACATACTGCACATTAAAGCCAAAAGAGAATGCCCAAGCTATACAAGAATTAGTACTCCCACTCATTTATTCATCAATAATTATAATGAAATTCAGCTCATAATACATCTCCATTAAAGTGTTTATAAATCACAAACACACCTGAATAATTTGTAGATTGCACTTAGCATATAAAACCCTGATAATTCACTGTCTTCACACTCCATTGCTGCTAAACGGATCTTCTGCCACTATACCCAATTGCTTTGTTCTTTCTAATTGCAGCAAACCAAAAGCACCTAACCTAGAGTTTTACGCAATTGGTTAGCACTTTGTCGCGCTCTTTGTATGCGCATGTCCTATGGGTGTCCCGTAGGACTCACTGACGTAGGCAACAACCTACCAAGCAATTACTGGCAACTGTTCCCACCAACTGCTCGAAACTTGCGGCCGTAACCTCCTACCACACCCACACAACACCATTTGTGCACATCTGCTGCAACTGCATGCACACCACCTACTTGTTTTCACAACTACACGTATGCTACCTGGGCTTGTCTCTGCAACTACATGCAAGATTGCACACATCTCTGCAATTGGTCGCACACATCCATGCAACTAACTTGATTGGATCAACTACAATTTAATTGTTCCTGCTGATGCACAATCCTTGCACTTGTACCATGCTATTTGTGTTTGCTGTATGTACTTGTGGATTCGGCTCTGCCCGTTAGTTTCACTTGCAACCTGCACAAGTTTTTATAAGTACATACAATTTTCACGCATACATGTATAAATTTACAAGCATACACCATTTGCATGCATCAATCACCACAAGCATGATTCACAGCACTTTGTTTTGTTTCTCAACTGATCAACGGTGGAAGACATTCCCCTATGCCTAAGTTCATAGCCATGAGCTTTGGAGTGTAACCGCCCCCTCCTTCAAGCTAGTTTGACATGCAATAAAAATAAACATTACACATTGACATATTGTATTTTTGATAATTTGATCAATGTAAAATTGATGGCTTGGGTTGATAATGATGATTCACATGTGACGCTTGTAACTTTACTATAAGTTACTATTCAAATGCTTGGGTTTTTTATGTTAACAGCACTGTTCCGCGACCCTTTCTGTTCGCGGGATATAAAGGGTGGGCCGGCCGGTTCAGTTGAACCGTCCGGATGAACCGGTTATTACAGCAGGTCAGCTACTTGCCCTTCTATGGAGGAAATTTTTTCCTCCACCGTTGTCTTGATTTGATTCATCTACCCTTCAAGTCTCTCCTCCAGCACATCCACTTTCTTGGCCTACATCAATCCCCAGATTTTTGAATATTCAAAAATCTGGATTTGGATATAAAAAACAGCACCTTCCTCCATCACCGGCCCAAAAACAGGCACTAAAATTCATCACAAACAGCCCACCAACGGTTCCAAGTCTTTCTATGATACCAATTTGATAGGAAACACTTGGAGATCTCAAGTATTTCCTATAAAACTTCGGAAAACAGCGAGAATTCTCCACAAAAAATTCACACAAAACCACGAAAATAGTAGATAATTTTTATTATTTGATGAAATAGAACAAAAAATAACAAGATACACTTGATCCTTAATTCGAGAGGAGGATCGATCTCTCCTAAACTCTATAGATGCCGCTAGAGCCCAAAGGAAATCTAAACCTAAGAGATCTCAAATTTCAACCAAATTCCTGATGCCCTGATCCTAGGAAAACAAACTATTTAATGCATGCAAATCAAAATGAAATCCCTAAACAGTCCCTACATTCAAATTTCCCTCTTAATTCCCCCAAAATCCTTCCTATTCAGCTCCCTTGGAGCTTGCAGATCGTGCGGCTCTTCCTGGAGGCAGAAGAGTTCCGCCTCAAATTGCATAAGCCGGTCCGACAGGACCGGCTGAACCGGTCCATTGGGCCGGTCTAACAAGGCCACCCATCCTAGGATTTCTCCGGGGTGAGCATGCTTGACTGCGGAGTTTCTTAAATGAAATTCTAACCATTACATCAAAAGGCGTCTCGGTGTTTAAGAGTGTAGCTTCTTTTTACTTAAAGAATTTCACAATCTATAAATCAATTTAGATTTCAGCTTTCTTCTAATTTGCACCCAACATACTGCACATTAAAGCCAAAAGAGAATGCCCAAGCTATACAAGAATAAGTACTCCCAATCATTTATTCATCAATAATTATAATGAAATTTAGCTTATAATACATCCCCAATAAAGTGTCTAAAATTCACAAACACACCTAAATAATTTATAGATTGCACTTAGCATATAAAAACCCTGATAATTCACTGCCTGCGCACTCCATTGCAGCTAAATGGATCTTCTGCCACTATACCCAATTGCTTTGTTCTCTCGAATTGCAGCAAACCGAAAGCACCTAACCTAGAGTTTTATGCAATTGGTTAGCACCTTGTCGCTCTCTTTGTATGCGCATGTCCTATGGGTGTCCCGTAGGACTCACTGAAGTAGGCAACAACCTACCAAGCAATTACCGGCAACTGTTCCCACCAACTGCTCGAAACTTGCTGCCGTAACCTACTACCACAACACACAACACGATTTATGCACATCTCCTGCAACTGCATGCACACCACCTGCTTGTCTTTACAACTACACGTATGCTACCTGGGCTTGTATCTGCAACTACACACATCTCTGCAATTGGCCCACACATCCATGCAACTAACTTGATTGGATCTACTACAATTTAATTGTTCCTGCTGATGCACAATCCTTGCACATGTACCATGCTATTTGTGTTTGCTGTATGTACTTGTGGATTCGGCTCTACACGTTAGTTTCACTTGCAACCTGCAAAAGTCTTGATAAGTACATACAATTTCCACGCATACATGTATAAATTTACAAGCATACACCATTTGCTGCATCAATCACCACAAGCATGATTCACAGCACTTTGTTTTGTTTCTTGACTGATAAACGGTGGAAGACATTCCCCTATGCCTAAGTTCATAGCCACGAGCTTTGCAGTGTAACCGCCCCCTCCTTCAAGCTAGTTTGACATGCAATAAAAATAAACATGACACATTGACATATGGTATTTTTGATAATTTGATCAATGTAAAACTGATGGCTTGGGATGATAATGATGATTCACATGTGACGCTTGTAACTTTACTATAAGTTACTATTCAAATGCTTGGGTTTTTTATGTTTGTGACTTTACTGTTTCAATGTAAAGGTCCTTATAAACTCTTGATCTTGGTAGGAGCTTGCCGGTTTGCGGAGTGTAGAGCTGATTCAGAATGATGGAAGTCCCTCTGGAGCTAAATATTTTATGCTTTGGAATCCACCATTGCCGTTGGTAGGACGGCTCATTATCTATTAATACTCATTAAAGTGGGATACATAGTTTGTCTGCCAGATTATACTACTTTTAGTCTTATGACTATTTTTCATCCGGATGATAAATTTTGAAGTTATTGATTTTTTCATTGAGTGTTGATTAATGCGTTGTCAATTTGAATCCCTATCAGGAAGTTAAGACCAGTAAGAGCACAGGGAAGTTTTGGCATTCCGAGTCTGCTCTTCGGCGCACAAGGTAAAGGTTTCTTCATTGTATATGCTGCAGTTAGTTGTTAATTTAGCAAATTCATTTACGTATTTCCCTGACTGTCAGTTTCTTTTATAACAGAATTAGTTATTATGTTTCTTATGTAGATGTCTTTAGTATAGTTTATGGCTACCTAGTTTGTGTTACTTTAATCGAGTACTTTGTAAGTTATGCTTCAAAAGAAAGTTATTCATGGCATGGATAAATTAATTGTCAAGAGATGTTGCGATTAAAGAACTGACTCATATATATCAAGTTAGTTGAATCAGAACAAAGAATATTCCTCTTGTAATAAAAAATATGATATGAACATACTAAAAAATATAAAAATATCTGATTGCAAATCTTGTAAAATTTCAATTAAACTATGTTAAAAGTTTGATGCAGATGATCAAGGAGTTGCGGTAGACATGGGACAACATCAAGGATTAGCTAAAAAATTAATCTATCTATCTCACACATATCTATAGTTTGTCTTTACAGTAGGTCTCATTAGTTAATTCATGCACAAAATCAAAGAATCGCATCTTCAATTGACTCATAGAGTCCTGAAATACCTTAAAGCAATTCCCTAAAAAAAATTTCTCTACAAAAAACGTGATACTCTACAAATTAAATGTTATACTAATGATTATTATGGAGAATTATAAGTGGATACAGAATCCACTTCATGATACTATATATTCGCAAGAGGAAATCTCATAATATAGAGGATCAAAAGGCATCTGTATATTACAAGATCTAGCGTTGAATCTAAATTTAAAGTAATTTCCCACAGAATTTGTGGATTATCTTTGAAGATTATTACAATTAAGTGGGAAGAGCCATGAAGATGTATCATGATAATAAATTTGCCTTCAGCATTGCTCATAATCCAATACAACATAATCATATCAAGCATGTATAGGAAGATAAATATTTCATAAAATAGAATAAAAATTTGGTTGATTTGCTCCTCCATATGTACAATCAGGAAATCAACTTGGCAATATATTCACCAATGAACTTTACAATCCTATGTTCAGGAATATTGTAAGCTTACTTGGAATGATATATTTATATCCTCTAGTTTGAGAGGAAATGTTAAATATAGTCACCCCCAAGGGACCCACTCCTCCGCCTCCTTTGTGCATCCGACCTAGAGGAGTTATGGGTCTCATTATGCAGCCAATCATAGTATGATATATTGAGCATACGGGCTACAGAACTTAGCCATTGGATCTTCTCTCTCTTAACTATTAAATTGTAATCCATGTACTCATCTCCTTTAACCTAGCCGCCGCCGCACCTTTTTTAGATTATTTTATTTTATTTTGTATAAATTGCATTTGCCTATATATATATATATAATTTTATTAACAATTTTTGATGTCAAAATTGCCAGAAAGTTATATTTTCCACTAACGTTTAATTCATTATCCATGTAGCAATGGCACTGAACATAAAATTTCGTGCAATCAAATTAATAATTAAAAACATAAATGACGATGCTACCCCGTGGTCTATTGCACTGCATGTAGGCACTGCTCTCTTCCCTCCGCTATGAACCTACACGCGATATCCTGATGGTGATGAGAAGTCTAGGTATCCACGGGTGGTTGTGTCTAATCATGTTAAAGCTTGTAGGTATTTTCGTTTGCTGGAAACATTGAAACCGCAGACCACGAATTTGAAATGCTGCACTCTGAAAAGCTAGCAAGCTTTCAAAAATTTCTCTCACAGCAGCAATTTCTCATCAGGGACAAAGTTCTGAGGCAATCAGTAATGTGGCAGCATTAACAGGAAAATGGTTGTCCCAAATTGACTCCATGTTTATGTTTTAGTGATTTAGCTTACTAGTTTTGAGAAATTTGGTGCTTTCCTCCTTTAAAGTGCCATTTCACATTTATAGAACAAGGGCAGGAATCATGAAAACAATTTTCTGTTGTATGACCTTTAGCTTAATTTTCTGCTTAGCCAACCTCTGTTATTTCTAATAATCTGCTTTTACTTACAGCCCAATTCTGGAGACTGCACGTCTTTTTGCAGAAATGGTCCAACATGGTCTTCGATGTATTGCATTCTGTAAGACACGGAAGCTCAGTGAACTAGTTCTTTGTTACACGTGCGTCTTTCAAACTTATAAATGCATTCTAGATTTTCTTCATAATTGCAAGTTTTTTGCAAATTTACTTGCGCAGGCAGTCTGCTTGAGTTTGCTCTTTTTTCTTGTACTTGACCTATAGGATCAGAACTTTTGATGCATACTAGTAATTTTCTTCCAACTTTAATTCATAACTATTGGAATATGTGGAGCAGGTTCATTACTTGAGACAATAATCTTGTGAGTATTAACATATTTTGTTTTTCATTTGCAAAAAGGGTAGCTTGCAGATATAATGGAAAAACTTGCGCAAAAAGATTTGTTCAAAATAGGCTTTACATCTCATGTAATACTCAGCAAGATATAAATATTGAGGATAATTAAGTTGATCCCTAATGGTTAGGACAAGGTTAATGACGTTGATGATGGTGATCCGGACATAGCTATATTTCTTAATTTGGAAAAGTTTGGCATTCTATTAGATATAAACAAATATTATGGTATCCTAAAATAGTACAAACTAAATGATCTATACTTGTGTAATAAGTATTAACTTATTTCTTTTATTCTATTTTTAGTTTATTTTAGGTAGATTGGTTTTATATTGTAAACTTGGTCTACTCAAGTAGTATAAATACATCTTCTATTGTAAGAAAATGTTGTGGAATGAATAGAATTTCTGGTTTCCTCTCTTTCTCTTTATCTTCTATTTCTCTTGGGAGTCTACACCTACTCCAAAGATGCCAAAGCTTCTTGGACCACCAAGAAACATAACACCTTCCTAACTTACCCACCCCTTTTTGCTGGATATCTACCTTCCATTGCTGTTAGATGATTTTTTTGGTCTTTTGTTGACCTTTTTTTTTCAGGCGGGAAATTCTGCAGGAAACTGCATCTAGTCTGGTTAATTCTGTGCGTGTTTATCGTGGCGGCTACACTCCTCAGGTCTTTAGCTGTACTTTTGAACTGAATCCTAATTCATTCTTAATTTATTGATAATATTTTTCTTATTTATGTTCCCACGATAGTGTAGGATAGGAGGAAGATTGAAACTGATTTGTTTGAGGGTAAGCTTCAAGGTGTTGCTGCTACAAATGCACTTGAGCTAGGGATTGATGTAGGGTATATTGATGCTACTTTGCATCTTGGTTTTCCAGGTAGTGTTGCAAGGTATGTATGCCATTCCTATCTTCTGATGCATAGGTGCATTTGTACAGCTATGCATGCATGCGTACATGATGCATAGATTAATGCATGGCACATGCATATGCATATGCATGTTTGTTAGTGCACAGCATTTGTATGCACAGCTATGTGATGGTGTGTGGGCATGAATATTGAAATTCCTGTATGCCTATTCAATTTTAGTTTACTTGAATTTGTAGCTTGTGGCAGCAAGCTGGTAGGTCTGGAAGAAGATCCAGGCCATCCTTGGCGATTTATATTGCATTTGAAGGACCATTGGATCAGTATTTTATGAAATTCCCGGATAAGCTCTTTAGGAGATCTGTTGAATATTGCCAAGTTGACAGTCACAATGAGAAGGTCAGTTGTGTACTGACTTTTTTATATTTAATATTAATCATCAAATTTAACTTAACATTTCAATATTTGTGTAATTAATTGAATTAGGTTGCTCAGCTTATGGCTTGCATTTAGGTTTAAAGCATTTGTTATTTTTAGTCTAGCAGCAACTCTTATAAGGGAATGATAAATGAATTAGGAAATTCAAATTCCAGAAAAATGGAATTAAGGGTTAAATCATGTCCATCGGAAATGTGCCAAAGAGAAAGTGCATTTTTCTTTATTACAATTTTAGTAACTCTGTTCTAATTTATGATATTTACAATGCAAATGCCTAGGTGCTGGAACAGCACATAGCTTGTGCTGCTTTTGAGATTCCAGTTTCTTCTGAATATGATGAGAAATATTTCGGTCCTAGTCTGGAGCGAGCTATACTCTCCCTCAAAAACAAAGGTCATCTGGTTCCTGACCCTGAAGTTTCTGCCTCCAAAATTTGGAATTATGTTGGACCTGAGGTACATCATTATAATCTGCATGAATTTTATTTCTTAGCAAGAATGATAGGATGTGATGTTTTAACTTATATTTATGCTTTGAGCTTGTCAGGATAAGCCTTCAGCTGCAGTTAGTATACGGGCAATAGATGATAATAGATACAAAGTGATTGATAAGTCAAGCAACGAGGTCTTGGAGGAAATTGAGGAAAGCAAAGCTTTCTTTCAGGTTTGGAATATAGAGGGTTCTGCTTTTGCTGAGTATATTTTCAGTAATAAATCTCGTATTATGAATTCAATTATCAGATGTGTGAAAAAAGTTCATTCATAATCTGCTTTTCTCATTTTCTTATTCAACATAATTTTTCATGTGGTTAATTTTGTTTGAACCAGTTCTATATGCTTCTATTCTTTTCTTGTTTTCGTATCTATGCAGCGGCACAAGCTAATAGTTATATTTCTGCTTGCATTGCCATTTTTCTCAGGTTTATGAAGGTGCTGTTTACATGCATCAAGGTTGCACTTACCTAATCAAATCCTTGTTGTTATCAGAAAAGATTGCTTTTCAGAAGCGTAAAATACATAATACAAGCCGGGATTGATTAGATATTCATGTGTTGGAGTGCTGTAGTTTCGGGATGCTGATATAATAAAGCTCTCTTCACATGGCATTTTTTTATTCCAATGATTTTTCGCAAGATATGACATAAATATTTATGGCATTGTTATTGACTATATAATCTTCAACACTCACACACAACACATATAATCATTATTATTATTATTATTAATATAATATAATGATATTTCATACTACATTCCATAATTCTTGATGTAGAAGGAACAACAGAATTATTTATTACAGGCTTCTAGCAGAGAGTGAGCATTTATGGGGAATATGACGCAAGGTATTTGGCTGGAATTCTTGGCCATAAGGAAAAGCCGGTATAGTAAAGCAGAAACCGAGTTTTCGCTAATGAGGACAGTAGAGGAATTCTGCTAAGGATTCTGGAGAAGAAGGAGAAGCCTGAGACGATCGGACTCACTATCTCTTTGGGACATCAAAGATTGGTTTGATATCAGACAAAGCTGCAGTGAAAAGCATAGAGGCATATTGGTGATATGGGGAGATAAAGAAGCCTTGTAACGTTTAAGGTATGGAGATGGGGGAAATCGCGCCGAAATGGGAGGAGGGGAAAGGAGTATTATTCCATAAATTTGACTGAATAGGGAGGAAACGATTAAAAATCTGAAAATAACTCAGCTTAAAGGGAGAATGTAATTGCTTTGAATTGATTAGATTAAGGATCATATGGCTAGAATTAATGGGGAAAGATTTAATGGGAGAGAGGGAATTGGGGACAGCTTTAGTTATTGCCTTCTTTGAGAAATACCCAACTTAAAGAAGGAAATCCAACATAATTTATCTGTTAATTTTGAATTAGATTGAGGGTTTCCTAAATAAAGATCTATTAAGAAATATTAATTTAAAATTTGGATATGGGATTGCAAGAAATATTCCGAGAATTAGTATTAATTGCAAAAAGGAAGCGATAAAGGAGAGGAGTTAATGAGGCATTAAAGTTCCTAAATAATACAATTAAATTAGTTAAAGATTTCCATGCCCATTAATTCAATTTAAATAGGTTTAATTATAGAAGTTTCTAAAAGTAGGATTTAAATTAGAGCACTATCATTTCAAATCAAATGTTTGAATTTGACATTAAGATAGTACCTAAAAATGAAAAAATAGATTACGGAGTCTTCATGACAAGGGGTTGGGAGGGACAACAGGAGGGGCCGGCGGCTTTGTGGCTTGGCGTGAGTGGTGTAGAAGCTAAGGTGGTTTGGTGAAGTATAAGATTGAAGATGATGACTAGGAAAACAAGAAGGAACAATGAAACAGAAGCACAAGAAATAAAAGAATAAAACGCGAGCTGACTTTCGAAGGCTAAGGGTGTGCGGTTTGCCCTTACACAGGACTTCAAGCCCAGCCGACTCTCTGCGGCTGGTAGAGAACTATGAATCCTACCCCCCCCCCCCCCCCCTCCATAGAATTCATTAAAGTCCCGACAAAGAAACAGTGTACATAAATTTTATTATAATTCTATCATACCTAATACAAGAGAAGAGGAGCCTCTATATGTAGGCCTAAAAAAAAACTAAAAGACAAATTTTCCCATTGGGCTTACATAAGACAAGACTCTTAAATAAAAAGGTAAAAAAGGAAAATTGCAAATTTAAATCAAAAGACAATTAATAAACTAAAATAAAACGGAGTGATCTTGACCGTTGATTTTCGTCTCTTCCATTGAGTAACGTCCACCGTCGGATGTCCGCATCAATTCTATTTACATATTTAATACCTAAAATTTTAATATTACATGTATACCACCCATAGTGCATTTTCATATCAAATATGAGTAGTATAAATAAAATATATGAGTAATAGGAAGGAAATATGAGTGACATGTTTGATATTAAATAATATAGGGTGATACTGATATGTATGTAATATTAAAATTTTGGGTGTTAGATATGTAAATAGGATGGTATAAAGTGATATGTATGTAAATTTCCTTTTTTTTCATACGATTTTTAAGTCCTTGCTCGTGAAATTTACTCATTAGTGATAAATTGAACTTACAAGTCATATTGTTAATACTTATATACTTTAATTGACATTTCTTTTGTTATATATTTTTGTTGCTTAGGCATATCTCCCACCCATGACTACTGAATTTGCATCTAGAAGGACAAGTGCCCAAGTGAATGCTTGCACTGTGACAACAAATTGGTTTGGTTTTTATCGGATCTGGAGAACAAGTAATCAGATATTTGATAAAGTTGAACTTTCTCTTCCTTCATACTCGTACAATAGTCAGGTTAGTTATTGGATACCATTTTTTTGAGAATTATCACTTTTTTGCCTGATGTACTGTGGTTGATAGTGTTGTGGTTAGCTGGAATAGGCAGCTTGGATTAGAGTTCCTCAATCAATAAAAGTGGCTGTGCAGAAAAACAGTCTGGTATTCCGAGCTGGCCTGCATGCTGCTTCCCATGCTCTTCTCAACGTTGTTCCTCTGTAAGTTTCCAGTATTAGTTTGATTCTTTAGTCATTTTCAGTACCCCATTTCCGGAAATTGCTGTGGCGTCAGTCAGATGACCTTCTCGTTGATCTGTTCTTGAAAAATAATTCTCTTTTGGAAAATTATGAAACCCACCCAATTCTTCAAAATTGGTTGTTGCCCATCTATAGGCCATCTCATTTATCCTTTTTTTTTTGGAAAAAGTTGGGTGAGGATGGGTCTCAAATATGCAATTAATTAATTGAAATTTGCATTGCACTTATCTTGAAGTAAACTTAATGGATTTAGAACCCTATTGGATATAGATATCCTGTTTTTTTCTTCTCTTTTTTAATTTCAAATTCCCACAACAAACTTAACTGCAAAGTTGTTTTTTACTTCACTTATTGCTTGGTTGTAACTTCCATAGGCGTTGCAGCTCTAATTTTCTTTTGTTAACTTTACCACTACCTATATTTCCCGTCTTTTTTTCCCCCGTCATTTTGGAGTTATTGTTTGCTAGATTTTTTTTTCTTACTTCATATGGAAAAACAATTAAGGCCTTCCTTATCACTGTTATCAAAATGAGTTAACTTCTTCGGTTTAATTTCTTCAGTTCCATAGGTTGAATATTCGGTGATAAGGTGACACTAGTTTTATTTGATGCAGTTATATGATGTGCAATACTTCTGACCTAGGGACAGAGTGTGCAAATCCTCATGAAACCCGTGATATTCCTGAAAGATTATTGCTGTATGATCAACATTCTGGTGGTATTGGTCTTTCTTTACAGGTACTGTGCATGCCTTCTTTCCGATTGTTTAGTTCTCCTATGCCTTGACACAGTTCAATATTGTGTGTCTATATATTCATTTACCGAGTACTGTTTTTTAGACATCCTGCGGATAGAATCTGAAAATTTTTATGAGTGTCATCTTGGACAAAAATTAATTACTACTGAGTACAAACCTATTGGGAAAAAAAAAAATAGAAATTGAGGTTAACAGGTAAAAATATGAGGTTTAATGATGCCAAGATGTTCTGTAGATATTTCAACTTCAGGTTTTATATAAACAGAGGACAGCCCGGGAATGATGGTCAGGAAAGAAAAAAATAGTTTTCTGTTTGGACCAGTCCAACCGGTCTGATGGGACCAGCTTACACGAGCAGAGGCGGGTTTTTCCGACTCCTGTACGCGCTGAACGCACGTCCGGTCGTGCGTGAGCTATTTTGGAAGGATTTTTGAGGGAATTAGAAGGGAAATTTGAAATTAGGGACTGTTTAGAGATTTCCATTTGAATTGTATGCTTTAAATAGTTGGTTTTTTTAGGGTTAGGGCATCTGGAATTTGGCTGAAATTTGATATTTCTTAGATTTAGGTATTCCTTTGGGCTCTAGCAGCGTCTAGAGATTTGGGAGAGAGAGATCATCCTCTCGAATAGAGGATCAATTGTATCTTGGTACTTTCCATTTCCCTTTAATCAAATAATACAAATTATCTACTGTATCATGGTTTTGTGTGGATATTTGTGGAGATTTTCCGCTGTTTTCCGAAGATTTATGAGAAATATTTGAGATCTACAAGTGTTTTCTATCATTTTCATGGTGACTTGATTAATAGAGTTCATTGTGACAACATAACTTCGAAATAGATTTGAACCCACTAGAAACGACGGTATGCACACACTCACAGGAGGTGATATTGAGTTTTCCTCTCAGAATAAAAAATATATATTTTGATTCGTGCCAAGTTTAAGAAGAGCAGAAAGTTTGAATGATTAGTTCCACAAAATATTTTTTATTTACTATCATCACATGAAAGTTGAATGCAATTTATGATGGATGTTTTTTTTTTGGGAGTTCTCTATATAGATCCAGCGACTCTTCCGGGAGCTCCTAATTGCAGCCTTGGAGCTTGTCTCAACCTGCAGTTGCTTGCACAGTGCTGGCTGTCCTAACTGTGTGCAGGTGAGCTAATTCTTTTCTTCCATCCTTTAATAATAAGTCTACAAGCTAAATGGAGGTTTGTACTATCAGGTATTAACATGTAGCGAATACAATGAAGTTCTTGACAAGAAAGCTGCCATGATAATTCTTGATGTAAGTCTCCCATCTTTTTTTCTATTTGTCTCAAAGTCATCCATTGGATGGATGATTCCCGTGAGTTTCCCATTTGCAGGGTGTGATCGAAGCAGAAAATTCTCAATTTAGTAGCAGAGAGTCTTCTGGAAATCCCTCCATCGATTAGCACCAAGTAAATCTTCCTATTGAGGTGTGTTGCCTAATTTTTCCTCGAACTATGCTACAAGTACTTTTCATTGTCTCTGCAATATGTATCTTTGGAGTAGGAAAATTTAGAATGGGTAGCTCTAATTGTTTAGGCTTCTAATTTTGTGACATACAGAGGCTTCTATTGCATGTTATGTGATGTATCATATAAATGCAATTATAACAAAGAAATATTCATTCATTTTATTTATAAATGGTAAGGTTAAAGCTTTTTTTTTTCTTTATCAGAGCATTATCTTCTCTCTTTTGCTTAAACTTGAGAGATGGAGGTGGATGGAGTTGAGTTCATTGAGAGCTTTTGAGTAACATTAGATGAATGAGGATCATGTTTTGATAATAGGATAATTTGCTGCATTTAGATGAGAATTTGACTCTTAATATGTCACAATGGAGAAAAAGAAGTCACGTAGTCAACCTCATATAGTGGGATAAAATCTTCTTGTTATTGTTGTATCATCAAATAAATTATTATTGAAATGTGATATGACTCAAATGTTAGGAAAATATATTTTGTTCAAATGTTAGAAGTTAAAATGACTAATGGCATATCAGATACCTAACCTAATGAAATATCATCTCTTAATTCAATCCAATTTATTATTTTATCAAAGACTTTGAAACATTTTGATCAGTTAGCCATTTGATCAAGGGATGCATGTCTAGTAAGGTCACCAACAATGCAAAATTAATAATTATGATAAAAATGATAATAAGACTATAATGGTGAAAGTGTTGCTCCCTTAATTTGGATAATATGTTGCTATCTTAATTTTTCATGCCAAATAATCAACTATACCTCATAAACTATGAAAGTAAGCCCCCCCAATTTCAAATTGAGGTAATAAGACATACCCCCAAGTTAAAGTTCACATAAAAAAAAGAAATGAAAATTTTCAAAATATTCATGTATAATCAATTTAATCTCAAAATATTATTTTGCTCTGATTTAATCTATCAACTATAAAATTGATTCAAAATTATGTCTCATTGTAATTGTATTACAAATCGATCTCAATTTGATACCTCAAATTTATAAAATTGATCTCAATTTGATCCCAAAAGAATCATTTTGAATTAATTTAATAAAGCTAATGCACTAAGTTGGATTAAATTAGAGCAACATTATACCATGAAATTAAAATGGTCATACAAGAATAGTCTGATGGCTAGTTTTAAATTTAACCCCAACAAAAGAAAAATTCAATCTTCATATACCACATCAATCCATCATCAACTAAAATTACTCTAACATTCTATCAATTATGAATGGAGAAATTGGCAATACTCGCCATCTTTTCTTGAGACATTTTGGCCAAAATCATTTTAGCCAATATCATGAAGCACATATAAATGTTCATTACACCAACACAATTTCAATAAAAACTCAATGATGTAAATTATAAAAAGATGCAATACTAATCTACAATCTCTTCATATATCAAGCTTCCTTAACATATAACTTATCATATAAACATATATGCTGAAAAATATAAGGATCTTTCCAAGCACATTCTACTTCATACAACCATATATGCTTTTTTCTGCCTATTTGTGAAATCTACATGCCATACAAGAGAGTTTTACAAGAACTACATATCCCATGCAACATCATTCTACTGAGCCAAATTACATTTGCTGCAAATATGTTATCTCTACAAGGATTTATAGAACACCATAGTCACATACTTAGCCCGGAACCTATGGGTGGCACCGAGAGCAACGGCCGGCTCACCGCTTCGCCCCTTCTGGATGAAAAGATGATTCAGAACTACATGTTGTGGCCTTGAAAGAAAGGAGTTCTCATCACTGTTACTTGAGTTGAGCAAGGTACATCCCAGCTGAGGAGGAACACTTGGTGGCTCCTTTGCTAAATCTTCAGAATCTAGTGGCCAATTGTTGTAGCTTGATTCTGGAGACAGAGGTGACTCGAAGCCGGCAACACTTCCTATCTCCTCAGGAACTGAGTCCTGTGAAACTTTTTTTAGTTACACATTAAACTATGGCTACAGAAATGGATCTTATATGATATACAAAATAGAATTATGGCATAATTTTGCATGTATAAATTATGTATAAAGTATTTTGGATATTTTACATGTTAGTATTTTTGAAATGATGAATGATAAACGATAAAACATTTCATTCAAATTACATCATTTTTATTGTTCTTTAAAGCAACTTTATAGTATAAAAGTTTCATAAACTATAAATTTTTATACTAAAAAGTTGTTGTAGAAAGCAGTAAGAAAGCTGCTCCAAACGAAGCGTTAAAAAAACTACTTCCTCTAATTACTCCACAGATCTTTCACTGTACCTACCGATATTTATGTGGTAATAAAAGCTAAAAAGATTAAAAGCTGGTCGTAAATAATCACATTGTTTAAATTTTGCATACCTCATGGTCATATCATAGAAGGCTTACAATAGCTATAATTAACATTCATTATTATGATAATATTCCCATGCAAGTTAAACAAATGATGCAAATGTTATGATGTGATACGTTCAAGAATTGCACATGAAATTCATTAAGAATCACAAAGTTTACCAATGTAAGATTAGAGTATCGTAGGTTAAGATTCAAGAAGTTTTACATTATCGAAATGTTATGATAAGCAGTTGCAAGCTAGTTGTTTAGACACAATTAATGAAGGATCTCAAAAGTATCGCAATAAAGCAAATGCGGAAAGTAATAGAATCCCACGGCTAATGTCTAGAAAGTTCACAACGAGTTACCTTGCTCACTCACACTCAAGTCAGGCTTAGCGGGAGAAGGCCTTTAGCAAACTCAACGATGCCACGAAGACGGTGGCAACACCAATGGCCTTGAGCCACGGAAAGGTGGACGATGACGAGGATGGCGTGAATGCTTGACTGTCAATGCTCCAATCGTAGCTTGAAAATCGTCGGCCGATGATGCTCACAAGAATCTGGACGACTCGCTCCAAATATTCTTCAACGGTGGCGTCGTCTTCAAATCCTACGTCAAAGCACGGAGATCGTAGGATATTAATGCTTCCGTCGGCGTTGAATATTAATCCCCACTCAAACTCTGGGTCCGCCATACATGCTTGGCGTGGAGAATTCTTCAAAGAGAGGGGAACTAAGTGAAGGTAATGGAGAGTCATTGCTTTGAAAGGAGGAGGAGGAAGGGGAAGGGGCCGGCGGCTTCTCAAGGGGAGAAGGTGAGGCTGGCGGGTGCAAGGAGGAGGGAGCTTGGGTTTGGGAGAATTAGGTTTGGGTGGTTAGCTTTAGGGAATTAATCAAAAATCTGAATTAATTTCAGATTTGATTAAGTTTGGAGGGAAAATCGATTTGAATTTTAAATTTCAAATCAAGCAATTAAGGCATTTAATTGGGGTTAATGAGGGGAAGCCAATGAAGGTGGCCGGCAGCTTATAGGGAGAGGGAGGAGCTTTAAAACTCAAAACCTGAAATTAATTTCAGGATTTTGAATAGAAAGGGTGGGAAATTAATTTGAAATCAATTTGATTTCAAATTTGGGGGAAGGGGAGTTAAGTAGCAATTAATGGGAATAATTCCCACTAAGGGTCGGCGGCATGCTAAGAGGAAGAGAGAGGGAAATCCAAGAGGAAAGGTTTCCAACTTTAGGATGATGACGTGGAAATAAAAATAAAGACTCCGATTTAATTTAATTTGAAATTGGAACTTATTCAGCAACTTTCCTAAATTGGATTTTCAAATTAGTAAAGAATTTGAAAGTTGAAATTCAAATTTCAAAATCGAAGCATGCGGAGGGAAGGATCGGATGGGTGGGAGAATTCGCCGGTAAGGTGGCCGGCCGTGGCCTTGGAAGTGGCCGGCGGCGGGTTTCTCCGGGGGCGTCGGCAACAAAGGTTTGGGTAGGGATTTTCTTGGGGTGGTAGAGGGAGAAAACGGTAGAGGAAAACACGAACTAGGTGATAAAGAAAATAACCACGAGCCGCGGACTCTTCCAACGATTGGTGGGCCTTGGGATTTGCTCTCCTTGAGCTCTCTCACCCTTCTCTAGCTCTCATGCAAGAAGAAGAAGATAACATCAAATTTCATTCAACTATTCATTAATTCCAATACAACTAGAATGACCTATATATAGGTCCCAACATAAAAAAAAAAACACAAAGACTAAATTGCCCTCGCGGCTACAATCAAGACTCAGCTCATACTAAGGGTACAATAGGAAACTCCAAGAAATAAAAAGAAGAAAATGCATAAATATCTAGAAATATAAACTCTGAATCGTGGCCGTCGATCTGCGCTATCTCCGGCGATACACATGTTTGAACCTCTGATCGATGTCCACATCATTCTTCCGAGGTGGGAGAAAGCTCAACCCCGTCGAGTAAAAATCTCTGGAGCTCTCATACATCTCTAGGAGATCTGGATCCAAGCTCTGCAGCTCCTCTCGATCTATCCACGTGTCCTCTGTCGCCGGCTTCCCTTTCCAGTGCACCAAGTACCTTTGGCGACCACCTTCCTTCGTGGAAATGATTTCATTGTCAAGTATAGCTTCGACCTTCTCCGCAATGGGTAAATGGGGCAATTTGGGGAGTGAAGGTAGGCTGGGGATCTCACTGGGTGGGTTCTCACAAGGCTTATCATGAAGTGGATCATCAGGGTTAAACTCGGGTCCCTCGAAAGCTACTAAATCTTCAACATTAAACGTAGGATTCATATTAAAGCCTTCAGGAAGGTCTAACACATAAGCATTACTGTTTACTTTCGAGATTATCTAGCAGTTAAAATAGGGTGGTAGACACTCTTAGCCGTTGTTCCGCTCTTCTTGGACAAATGCAAACTGAAATCACCGGCCTTGCATGGTTAAAGGACTTCTATGACTTAGACAAAGACCTTAGCACCATTTGAAACTCTTTCGATTCAGCCAAACAATCCTTAAGATTATGTGTTCATCATGGTTTTCACTTCAAACATAACTTGCTCTGTATTCCTGTGTCTTCGTGGAGATAACAATTGATAAAGGAAATACATTTTAGTGGCTTAGCTGCCCATGTGGGTCGAGACAAGACACTCGAACAATTGCAGTGAAGATTCTTCTATCCTCACATGTGAAGGGATGTGTCCCATTTTATTGAAAGTTGTTCTATTTGCCATGAATAAAAAGGCAGTGATCAAAACACAGGTCTATACACCATGTTACCAATTCCGAACTCAATATGGGAAGAATTGAGTCTTAATTTTATTCTTGGGTTACCCATACTAAATGTGGTTTTGACTCTATTATGGTTGTTGTTGATCGTTTCTCTAAAACGACTCATTTTATTTCCTCCAAAAAGACTTTTGATGCACTACATATTGCTCCCTTATTTTTAATGAAATTATTCAATTGCACGGTGTTCCACAAAGTCTTATATCTAACCGCGATGTCAAGTTTATTAGCCACTTTTGGCGAGAGCTATGGAAGCGTATGAATACAACTGTGCAACTTAGTTCCGCTTATCATCCCCAACCGAATGGTCAGACCAAAGCAGTTAATTGGACGCTATGAAACATGCTGATATGCATTGTTCAGAGCTAACCGAAACACTGGAATGTTGTTTTGGGACAAGCAGAATTCACATATAATTCTATGACTAACTGCTCAGCAAGATGCAACCCTTTCAGTATTGTGTACCCAAAGGCTCCCAACCACATTCTTGGCGTTGTTGTTATGCCCAAGTGTTGCAGCCAAACAGCTTCTAACATGGCCACTCAATTCATTTCTATGCTCTCTGATGTTTGTAACAAGTTGGCGGCTCCAGTGAAGCATACAAACAACAAGTTGATAAACATCGACGCTATAAGCATTTAATCCAGGTGATTTAGTTAAGGTTAGATTACGTCGCGAAAGATTCCCACCGGGTACGTATTCCAAACTAAATCCTCGTAAGATTGGACCCATTCCAATCTTAAAGAAGATAAATGACCATGCTTATATTGTTGATCTGGATAAACACCTTAACACACCTTCTAATTTCAATGTGGCGAATATTTACGCTTACAACCCACCTGAAGAGTTCAACACAAACAGTCCTTCGGTGGGCTATAGTTCTTCTAGAGGAGTGGCAACATGATGCGGAGCATATGCTATGTCCAGAGATATCATGCTCCCACTATTAGCTAACCACCTCATTACCTTTTATATTGTTATATCGTACTAGCAATATTTCGCTTTAACACCGCTTTGCTTCTTTCGTAATAGTTGTCTTCCTTTTAGCATACATACAGAGGTGCTATTATGTAAGGTAGTAGAGAAAAATATAATACAAAAGCTTTAGCTTTTTGCTTTATTCCATTTGTTTATTTTCCTGCATTGTTTGTTTCCATGATTACCTACATCAACTCGACTTCAACTTAGAAATTGCCATAAAATGCCCAACTCTAGGTAGTCGTCAGTTTGCCAGATTTGTCTACTTCATAACCTGCTTCATAGAGTTGTTTTATATAAATTTTCCTGTATTTCTTCATTGTATCCACTTCTATACTGTTGAATATTGATCTAAACATATAAATAGAAATTTAGCGCCTATAAATAGGAGTTAGCACATCACATCAATCCTATACTCTGCAATCATCCTCAGTAAAATCACCCTCAAAATTATCTTTCAAACTCCGAAGTTAGCAGCATCTACCCCTTCTTTGACTAGACCATGCGTCATTAGCAATATCAACATTCGAAAAATCAGCTCAGAACATCATCAAGATTTCATGAAGTCGCCGAATAACCTCTTCCAGCTTATCCCACAAAATGCCCTCATCAGTACCTTACAATTTAAGAACCTACACATTCCTAACATCTTTTATTCCAACTTAATTACGATAAATCAGAAACATCCAACAAAGCAGTAAGTTCGGAGCTCCAATTCTCCATGATAACTTGTTGATTGGGAAACAACCATCGCACGTTAACGAAACGAAAGTTTGGATCGAACCTCGAATGCAGCGGACGCCATTTTTCTGGAGATCGAGGGACCAGGGAGAACAGGAGCGAGTATCGAAAGATCGCACCTCCTCTGCGCCTCTCCTAACAAGTTCCAGGCACAGCGCGGCTCCCACGAAACCTAGACCTCCTGTTACAACGAAACGATTCCCCTCTATCCCTTCGTTCTCGCTTAGATGCATCTCAATCCCCCAATCTCCCTCTCTTGAGTCTCCTGCAATAAAAGGAAGACGAGAGTAAACCCTGCGGATGTCACGCAGACAATAATACGACGCGCCGACACTATTACTGTAAAATTAATGGAAGGCTGTGTACTTACAGTACTTTAAAGGTAAATAAACAAATAATTGAAGGGGAGGTTTAGATACACAGTACTCTAAAAGATAAAATTATTTTATTTATTTATTCATCTAAATTTTCCTACTTATAATAGATTAAAAATTTAAAGAAAATTAAAATTAATTATATTTGTTAAAATTTCATCAACATGTTGATTAGGGTTGTCAAAAACGAGTTTCGCGTCAGGTTCAGGTCGAATTCGAATCTGACCCGGCACTTAACCAGATCCGAATCTGACCCATTTTTGCAAACGGGTCGATTTTCAGACCTGAATCCGACCCGCTTCTTCTATGTTTTATTAAAATATTTTTATTTAATTCGATTTATTTAAACCAAAATCGAATTAAGGTAAGATTTACTTCAATCAATTTAAAATAAATCAAACTTAATTTAATTCAGGCAACATGATTTATTATTTTTTTGGAAATAGCATTTACTTATTTCATAATCTCTTAAAACCCTCCTAATCAATTAAAAACAGGTCAAATTGGGTTGATTTCGGATTTCCGGATCAACCCAAACCCTACCCGGTTTTACAAACTAGTCAAAATCCCTAACTTGAGCCCTAACCTGACTCGAACCTGAAATTTTCAGGTCAGATTCAGATCGAATTTTTTGATCGTGTCAAATATTGACACCCCTAATGTTGATGGCCGCATAAGTTCCACATAGTTTGATTTGATTGGAGATGCTTTGGTTTCCTTATTTTTGCAAAATGCTTTGGTTTCTTTTAGTTATTACACAATTATATGACAGGATCAGATCTATCATAACTTTCTTGTCTCCATGTGGTCAAGTGACAGACTACCATGACTTCATTTTAGACGCAAGTATTATGTTATCCAAACTATAGCTCCGAATGTTTTTTTTTTACTTAGTACATGCAAAACTTTGTATTTCATTATTTTTATGATAAAATCAAAAGTTTAAAAACTTATTTAAAAAAAATGATGAGATCAAATAAACAACTTTACTAATTTATTGGCAATCTTGCAAACTATGTTGTCTAACTTAGTTTAAAAATATATGCACTAAACTTCCAATGAATGTCGTACAAAGGCACACAACCACATGACGGTATAATTGTATAAGAAATGTTAAATTAAGCAAATATTTTAAATATTTAGGCCAATCAAGACAAATTCATACACACATCACATACGCAAAACTCGAACCTAAAATCTTTCGGTTGGTAGCCAGAATTCCCAACCAATAAACTAAGATGAGCTGCATAATTTAAATAATTTGAATAAACACATGATGTGTCTCTCATCACATATGGGGCACACATCATATGCATATTTGAATCATTAAAATTAAAACAAGATAGGAACACCTTAATCATAAAAAGTGACATCTCTCTCTCTCTCTCTCTCTCTCTCTCTCTCTCTCTCTCTCTCTCTCCTCTTTTAGTATCTTTATCGCATCTAACTTCCTAACACCATATAGAAATTAAAAGAAAATATTTAGTTAAAAAGAGAAAAAACCACATTAATCATATTGGAAAACTCTAGAATTAATTTTAAAACCATTTAGACTTCAATATTAACAAACTTATAGTTAAACTAATTAGTTGCTTCGTGACTCAAAAAATAACTTGATTTGAGTCCAAACAAGCTAGCCCATATAAAGAGCTTGAAGTATAGCTTTAAACAGTATCTCAACTGACCATCATTGTTGGATCTTCACCGATCAAGCCTTGTCGTCAAGCTATTGCAAGACAGTCATCGTCTGAACGTCATTGTCGAACCATCGCATATGACTGTCATCACCGAATCACATCCTGACCACAATAGTCAAAGCTTATCAGCCTCCAACACTTTGAACCATATATTGACTCCACTATACTTTCCATCGGCTATTCACACCCTTATAATCTTAACATTTTCAAGTTAAGGGAAAAGCAAATATTTATAAGAAATGCTCACATAATATAATCATTCCACCTTATGATTTCTCAATTTTGAAATTTTTACATAAAAAATATAGTATCACCCTTATTCTTTTCATTTATCTTTTCATATGATTGATCTTCATACAAAATTAGGATGCAAAAACCCTTTACTCTATTGATATGAATCTTTTAGCTTGTAACGGATATTATCATACCTCACTAAAGTTATGTACAGCCAATTCAATGCCACGAACATACACAGGAAGTTTCATAATTTTAGAAAACTCTTAGGTATTTATTTGCTTTAAAGTATGAAGTTTTCAAACTCGAAAAGCAAAAAAAAAATAATCATAGAAGTATTTTTCTTATATTTTGCATGCAATGATGCATCAATTGTCCAGATTTCATTTTATTTAGTCAAGTTTCAAGCCCACAACAAAAACATAGATAAAATCTTAGAAATTTGGTCAGGACTAAATATGGATCATCATATTCATTTCAAATAAAATCTACGGCCAAGATTACGTCGACAATCTCTCATGTACACTGATCACAAAAGAGATTGGGTCTCAGGCCAGCTTGACCAAGGAGGAAGCCCAATAAGGATTTCTCCCATTTTGACCACCAAATTAAAAATTCTCACATAAGGTGAAAGTCTCGAGACCAAGGGCTTGACTCTTTTTATCCTAGTTTGTCACACAAAATAGGGTTCTAGATGTTATCCTAAGATTTAAGATTCTTACCATCATAGTCAATGAGGGTAGCGAAATCGACCCATTACCTTTATTGTTGTGTAATAAACATAGCGGAAACATAATCATACAACAAAATAACACAAATACGACGATTTACGTGGTTTGACAAAGATGCTTATGTCTTGCGGAGGTGAGGATGATTTCAACATATTGGAGAACAATGTGGATTACATTAACTCTCAAGCTCTCTCTTTTTCTCATGCATACAATACAATAGCTCTCAAGCCCGTTTTAAAGATTTGACACAAACACAATAAGGAAAGCCTAATCAATAAGAAATCTAATCATGCCATAATTAGATGTCCTAATCAATACATAAATCAAATATCCAAATTGATGCAATAATTAGATCCCCTAATCAATGACTAAGTCAAATCTCCAATCAAAACTTTAATCAAATCAATTTAATTAGGAAAATAATCAAATCCCTAATTAAATAATGATTCATTAAAGCTTACTAAAATAACTCTTATTTGTATTTGGAAATAATTCGAAATCAACATTTATGAGGTGAGAAGCTTAAAAAATATTATTGGATTTGGTTTGAAGAGGGCAAAGATGGTGAGAATGTGAAACATCTTAAGAAAATAAAGTTAAGCTTCTAAATATCGATATCTTTTAGTGTAATAATTAGAGTTTCATTAGAAACTTAAAAGTTAAACATGCTTGTATCAAAGAACTCATGAGATGAGTGACATATTGGGACATTACACGAATGAGACCGTAATACCATTAGGCTAAAATACAATATCTTGATGATTGATCCGCCTAGCTTAGCTCAAGTTAGGCTCGCTAAAGATCATCACCTACCATGAGCTCCACCAAGTGTATGATGGAGATCCACCAAGAGGCAAAGGTATTGAGAAAGGCAAATGTCTAGAGAGCAAGGACGGGACCAGCGTTATTTTTTAAGGGTTGACAAACTCATTATATGAATGATTAAAAATACAAAATATATAAGATAACTCAAAGCAAAATCTTATATTTCATGATCATCGATAAATTAAGAAATAATTATAAGCTTTACATTCTGATTTTTATTTTTTAATAATATTGTATTAGGACTTCACTGAAATCAAGCTAACTACACTTCAAATCTATTAAATGTTCTCAATATTTTGAATTCTCTTTTATCTACATTTGAGGTAGTTACCTATTTTTATTCCTCTTTCCATTTATAACCAATATAACAGTTCTGAAATAGATATGAACTCTTTGCAATATCAGAAATTAACTAGGATCCAATGATCCATTGAGAGCAGTAGTTACAGCCTTGTGACAATCTGAGAGCATTATGTATTGCCTTCTCCCGCAAAACAAAAAAATCATTAAAATAATCATTTTATGGTGATTTATGTTTTGTTTGGGACAGCTTTTCTATTGCTCTGTAAAGTACTTTTTAGTAATTTTTTTTTAAATAGAAAAAAATAGTGGTCTAATGATATTCCAAACGAAGCATTCAAGACAATTTTTTTACTGTTTTTTAAAGCAACTTTCTAGTAATAAAATTTTAATTTTGTACTAAAAAATTGCTTTAAGAAACAGTAAAGAAGCCGTCCCAAATGAAGCCTTAATATGATCTAAATTACCTAAAATCAAGCCTTAATATGATTAGTATCCATAAAAAGAAAAAAAATAAATACATTATTTGACTGAGAACATATATCGGCTAGTCGATCATAACATAGATGAAAGGATGATTGAATGCTAGGGTTTCCATGGCTGGCTAGCACAAAAGAAAACAGCCTTTGATGATTTGTGAAAGCTCCATATTGACCAGAAAATATCATAACAGCGTTTTGCCTGACAATAAATATCTATAATTCTATAGATATCACTTGCCTTGGAAAATCTTGAGAAGGAGAAGTAGAAGTATGATTTGTACTTTGAGATATCAGGACTTGAGAGTAGTATTAGATTAGTGCTTCATAGAATTTCTCTACTTGAGAGAAGCATAGGAAGCGCCTCGGTGGGGAGTTGGTAGAAATAATGTGCGTGAATCGGGATAGTTTGTATAGCGAGTGTGAACAAGATGGATGGGAGAAATAGTGAGTGGCTGCGATGTGCGAATGGGTGCTGAAAGCAGGCAAAAACTTGTAAGATACGACCTTTGAAGTACATATTTCATGTGGTAATTGCCCACCCTCAATAAAATGGGGTTCCACCCCTAATAGAGAGAGCATGATCCTAGCTTTAGGTTTGCTTATTCCTCTATAGATTTGATGTATGACCCTCTTAACCACACTTAAGCATTCACTAATTATAAGAAATTGCTTAATCATGGGTTAAACTTAATAATTAAGTCGGCCTAGAGCCTTTGACAAGAAATACATCTATTTAATGCAATCAATTTAGGAAATAGGGCCATTTTGGCTTAGTAAGACTTAGGCTTCGTTTGGGACGACTTTTTTGTTGCTTCTTAAAGCAGCTTTCAAGTACAAAAATTTCAACTTTTGTGCTAGAAAGTTAATTTAAGAAGCAGTAAAAAAGTCTTCCCAAACAAATCTTTAACTAAGTCAAATTGAGTCAATTTAACCTACTTGGTCCAAATTAGCAAGTCCCAAGGGTCAAATATCTTGGTTTAGGTGTGGTTGTCCTAAGGGAGAGATTATTAGGTGCGGAGTGCAGACGGGGAGAACCGTCCGCACACTAGTATAAAATACAGTTATGTATCATTCGGTATCGCTGGGTACCGCTTGGTACCCTGTGTGTGTGCAGGCGGTGCTCTCCCCGTCTACACTCCGCACCTAATAATTTTTCGTCCTAAGGACACCCTCCATAAGCTCTATGATCCATTGCTTTAGTCAAATATCTTGGTTTACTTTCTTACTACATATTTGATTATATCTTCATTGGCTCCTCAAGTCATCCAACTTTTTGGGAATATAAATTAGAAAAGGACAAATGGTCCTAATCAAAATTATCTGAACCAGGAAAATAAAATATTACCAAAAAAAAGTATAAATGTATTTCAATATTGAAGTACTCACGAGACAACTGTGAACGTAGCAATGGATGGTTTGATATGTATAATTGTCAACCACTCTCCAATATCTTCCTTTCTTCTCATAATTAAAAATTAAAAAAAAAAAACTCTTATTTATTGACATGCATGCGAATTCCATGTCAATTTATGCGGGGATTTTTTTTAGTATTTTATTATTTTTAATATTTTATGAAAAATAGATTTTTATAATATTTTTAAAAATATTTTAGTAGAGAGATGAAGTCCATTAATCACTTATACTTTTTTATTATTATGTTAGTATTTGGTTTTGATAATGTGTGGTGATTAATATTTTATGGAATATATTGTTTATTATACTATTAGTATTAATAGGATTTTTTGAGTCAGCAGTAAGTTATATTTATTTTGTTTGCTTGTTATTAGTGGTGTAATTGAGATTTTATTTGAGATAATTTTATTACTTATTTTATTTTTCAGATCATAATCATCATTTATAATTGATCACTATTTTCTTGCTGCTCTATAAAATATTAGGGTAGAAAGCAGCTTTCTACAACATTTTTCTAAAAAATTCATTTCTCTACATCAACTTTACAACTATCTTTATAAAATGCTACAGTCATCCCAAACAAATGCCGAGTTAAGTTAATTTGTTAATTTGTTCAAACTTAACTTGATAAATGACTCGTGAGTTAAGGTTAATGAGTTAATGAGTTAGATTTAAGATAATACTAACTAGTCAACTATATCTTTATAAAACATTAGGGTTTAAGTACAAAATTATTAAACATGTTTAAAAATTATATTTATGTTCCTTTATTTTAGGTGTTTGTTTCAATTATTTTGTACATAATATTTGTATTTTATAGAAATAAATAATTGAGCCATAATTATATTTTTAGGCTTCATTTGGGATGATTTTTTTCTACTTCTTAAATCAATTTTTGAACACAAAAACTAAAATTGTTGTACTAAAAAAATTTATTTACAAAGCAGTAAGAAAACTATCCCAAATGAAGCCTTAGTTTCACAATAAATAAGTTAACTTATTACCCTACTCGAACTTATAAGGCTAAACTCAAATTTTAACCCCAAATTAAATTAATTTAATCTTAAACTAAGGGAAGAAATAATTTAAGCTTAACTCAACTCGTTTATAGATATTGATCATAAAACAAAACTTAGGGATATATTTTATTTGCAATTGAATGTTTAACGACCGTTGTACTCACACATTAATTGTTAAATGGCTGTACTTCAATTATTTAATGGCCGTTGTACTCTTCTAATTTCCATTCTTAATTCTTTTCATTTTTTTTCTCTTTTATTAGCAGTGTGATATGACATTGCATTAGAATAAGTTGACAAAAGTTAATAAGAAAAAGAAAAAAAAAAGAAAAACATTCATTCAGATCAAAAGTATTTTTCTAATAAAAATTTCAAAAACCCTGTAATTTAGGAAAAATAATTCTGTGCGGACCCGGATGGCGTCCGGAGACCAATTAGAACGTGCCACGTCACTTCTTTGCTCGGTACTGTGCTCGGTATTGCTGTATACCGAGTTACGTGGCACGTTCTGATTGGTATCTAGACCGTCCGGTATCCGCACATAAACATATGATGTACTAATATGATATGATATATGAGAAAAATATCAAATTGATCTCTTTTTATATGTGAGAAGAACTAAAATAGTTCTCAAATATATTAAAATATCTATTGACTTTTTAAATATGGGTCAAATTAATTTTTTTTGGGATCATTTGAATCCCTATTTTAAAAGTCAAGGGACTAAATGAGATGTTTTATTAGTCGGAGATTATTTGGATAATTAGTAGAAATTTAGAGGATCATTTTGATCATTATCTCCATTATAAGTATACATATGATGTATCTACCTTTTAAAAATATAAGCTAAGAATAGAATTTCAATATGTTATTATAACGTTATATCACAACAAAATTTAAAGTTATGTAGTAATTACAATTAAAATTAAAATTTATTATTCATTACAAATGTAGTTAACATAGGCTTCTGTTAATTAGATAAACATATATTGCTCGAATTTGATATGATCGACTTTGCATCATCATCCAATTTATATTCAAATCATTATTCATTTCTCTTTTACAAAATGATCAACATAAAATTTCCAAACAAAGCACAAAATCTCGTGAAGTTGGTGACAATCAAAGCCATTTCACTTTCCTCAAATGTATTTCTTTTCCATTCCACGTGAACCAACTCCTCCTCCTCCCAAAAATCTCTCCTTTGAAAAACTCCCCTACTCTTCACCTCAAATCAAACAAAGCACCACAAAAAAATGAGCTCCCATTTGCATTCCAGCGACGATATCATCAAGGAAATCATGCGGCTTCACTGCTCTCTTCTGCCCCGTCCCCCAATGGATGAAATCGAAGCCGCCATGGCTATCATCCACGACGTGGACAAAGAAGAAAGGACAAGACTTGAAACCATTTCAAAGCCGAGCAAGGCTTCTGAGATTCATGAAGAGCTTTTTTCCATTCTTCAGGAGATGCAGAGAAGCTTGGTGAGGTTTCAGAGCAAGGCACAGAGGAGAGAAGCTATGAAGCTGATGGATCTTGAGAGTGTACACCAAGTGTTTGATGATTTGATTCAAAGGGCTTCCAAGTGTATTCCGTTGTTGAGATCGAATGGAGCTGGTTTTATAGGTGGTGGTGACGGAGCTGTGGAGAGTAAGGATGATTGCTATTTGAAGAAAGGAAAGCAGGAAATTGTTGCATTAGGTGAGCTTCAATCTTATTTTGACAGCAGTTTTGATTTTAAATTTTAAATGTTTTGTAGCAATTTTGGTTGTAACTAGGGGTGTCAATATTTGACACGACACGAAAATCCGACCCGAACTTGACTCGGAATTTTCGGGTTAGACCCGACCCGTTTTCAAAACGGGTTGAGTTTGGGTTCCCGGATTCGACCCGTTTGAAAAACGTGTCAGGTTCGGGTTGATCCGACGGGCACTACAGGAAAAATGCCCTAAACCGAAAAAAAACCACCGGATTTCAGCGTTTTTCCTGTAGTGAGGTAGCTAGCCTTCCAGGGTCGGGTTGGGTCAACCCGGCAACCCGCCGGGTCGGGTCCGGTTACCTACTCGGGTCGGGTTATGGTCGACCTGTTTGAACCCTGGTCAGTTTGGGATTCTACCCGAACCCAACCCATGAGCCGAAATTGACACCCCTAGTTGTAACATATCCGAAAGTAATCATAAATATTTTCGGTTTTAGATTTTGGTCGAAAGAAATTTGAGAGTTTCAACTGAAATCCATAGATTTTGAATGAAACTTTGTTAAAAATTTTGAGCAAATTTCAAACTTCTATTAGAATTCTATTAATGAGATCCATCAAATTTCATGTTTGTCGCTAATTAGATTATCCCCTTTAGGGGTGTCAATTTTTGACCCGACCCGAAACCTGACCCGGAAAAATCTGCGTTCGGGTCGACCCGTTTATGAAACGAGTCGGGTTCGGGTTCAATAAACTGACCTGTTTCAAAAAATGGGTCGGGCTCGGTTTGACTCGGCAACCTGAAAATGACCCGGAAATCCTATGCCCGGTCTGCTGCATGCCCGCCCTGCCCGAAGCGTCACCCGTCCCTAAGCGGCGAAGTGGCGACTGGCGAACCCGTCCCGTGCATGTCCCGCACGTGTCCCGCAAATGGATAACCCGTCTCGCGCGTGTCCCGAACGGCGAACCCGTCCCGGGCGCATGCATACCGACTCGTGCTGCCGCTGCTCTGCCTGCGAGGCTGCGACGAGTGTTGCCGCTGCCATCCTGCCGCTGCCGTCTGTCGCTGCTCCGCCGCTACCGCTGCGGCTGCGCCGCCGGCAGTATTTCAAAAGTCTGGGTCGGGTCGTGTCAACCCGGCAACCCGAGCGGGTCGAGTCCTAGTTAAAAAAGTCGACCCGTTTACAAAAACGGGTCGGGTTCGGGTTGACCCGTTTAAGCCGAGTCAATTCGGGTTCGACCCGAACCCGACCCGCTGACCCAAATTGACACCCCTAATCCCCTTTGTTTCATTTCTTAATTGTACTTTTTATACTATTTTATAATGGATCTCAACTTTTAAAACCTTGGTTTGGATATGAGTAATATCTATCAAATATAATAGATTTAGGTTGTGTTTATTTTTTATTTAAATATTAAACTATTGTGTGCTAGAAAATTTGCAACAATATAGAGGGAGAGTATTGCATCAGAAAGATTCAACATACAGAGATAAAATAGAAGAATGTAGGAGATACATACCTGAGTTCTTTAGTGGAAAAACCAAAAAAAGAAAAAAAAATTATAAGGCCTTATTAAGTTGAAATAATTGACTTTGTACTTGAAGTTGCAAAAGTATACTTTTCTCAACAACCGGAGAAGGAAAGATTATAGAACTGGAACCACTTGCTTGATCTTCTGTAGCGAAGATTGACGGAGAAATAGTAGAGGTTATGGTTGATGATGATGATAAACGAATGATGTTGGTTAGACCACTACAAGAAAATCATCTATTACCAGCGGAAATTGATAATTTTTAGGCAGTTTTCGAATTTTTTGGCAGTTTTCCAGCTGAAAAAATTCCGTCGATAAAACACGATAGGAAAATAAATTCTGGCGGCTTTTTCCGGAGGAAAATAATTCTGGCGGCTTCCCGTGTCCGTGTGCGCCCGTGCCAGCCTAGCAGCCCGCTCGCTCCCACACCTGGAAGTTCGCTCCCGTGCCCGTGTGCGCCCGTGCCAGCCCAGCAGCTCGATCTTGCGCCCGCGCCAGCCCAGCAGCCCGCCCGCTCCCACACCCACGCCTGCCAAGGGTTTCGAACATGGGTGGATTGGGGAGTATTTCAAACACCCAACCAAATTGGTAAATACATTTTAAGTGTTAAGTTTTTATATTTAAACTATATTTTAACACAAAATCAAGTTATTAAATAAAATTAAATATACTAATTAATTTAATTATAAAAGTAAAAAAGTAATAATTAATATAAAATAAAAATTAATAATTTCTAATTAATTTTAAAAAGAAAATTAATTAAAATAAAGAATTATAATCAAAATTTAATTAAAACAAATTATTAACTTAATAATTAATTAAAATACTACGAAAATTACTAATTAAAAAAAATAAAAATTAAAGCGGTGTGGGACTAAAACATAAAAGAGAGGGAGAAGGAAAGCGGTGCTAATTTTAGTTATTTAAATTATATAATTAGTTAAGTAGTTAATTTAATAATAAGTTAAATTAGTTAATTTAACTAATTTATATTAACTAATTAAATAAATAATTAAATTAATTTATATTTATTTATTAATTTGTTAATTTAATTATTTACCTAGAAAAATTGAAATTATGTCAGAAATCCGCCGGAAATCTGTTGAAAATCCACCAAAAATCTATCAAAAATACTTCACTAAAAATCTGTCAGAAAGCTTTCTAATATACACCGGAAATATTCCGCTAGAAATCCGTCGAAAATTTGCCAGTAATTTGCATTTTTCCTGCATTGTCTCTTCGTACTCATGTCTAGGACTCTTTTATATGGAGAATGAAATTCTACTTATAATATTTTAAGAGCAACATTTTTAATAAATTTGGGCCAAAATTGCATAACACTCCACAAATTTCCTATGTTAAATTCTTTGATCATAGATCGTTTATTTAGTATTTAGGCGATTTAATAACCTTATAATTAAATGACCTTGGGCTCATTAGATTCATCTCACTGAACCACTAGACTTGAATACAAGCATGCAATGTTTCCAACTATAATTCATGTCTTATTTGGGCTAATGTGGACTTAGATTATATCATCTTTTTGTGTCGTTATATAATCTTTTTGTGTCATTAGTTCGTCTAGTCGAGATATTCAGTTACACTATAAATATGTTGAAATAAGAGTTCATATGATCCTAAATTTAATTCCTCAAAATTTCAATATAAAATAATGCATTGAGATCCTTATAGATCAACTGAAATTTTTGAAGCGACATCAAAAATTTTATCTGAAATGGTCAACCATGATCATAATTTTTCTTCATGTAACTAATTTTATTTATTAGATAACCTATTGTCTGCATTTTTGCTGGTATGTTGATGTCATCAAGATGGGAGTTCAATTAATTTCATAGATAAAATTAGTTTTTTAATATGTCATCACATGGGACAGCTTAAATCAATATAGATGATGTCATAACATTACATAACATATGTCAATGACCCAAACATTTTTGTATTTTAATAAATTTGATTTGTATTATTTTATAGTAATTGGTCAAATCAATAATCTAACTAGTAGTTTGCATGCATGTATAAAATATTTTTTTAATTTAATAAATTTAATTACTTCAATTAAATACTTGTAAAATTTATTCAATCATATTCACAATAAAAAATAATATCTTTAATAATGAGGATATATTATACTAATAAATACTATAGATTTCTACTATAAATTTATGTCACATGTGGTAATATAAAATAGATCAATGAGATGTAGGTCTTCAGAAAAATATATGAATTAAAGCATGGAAGGAGGAAACAATATTCAAACAAATAGATATTATTATTATTTTTGTATATGAAACTGAAAGAAAGTTAATTATTTTTTTTTACTTTTACTTGTTACAAGAAAATTAATGCAGCTTCAATAAAAATTCCAATATTATGAGATATTCTTCCAACTTGAGCACAAACTAATTAGCATTCTGATGTATATATTCTTGAGATTTCTATTAATTTCTTTGATGCTGAATTTGCAGGTGATGAAAATGAGAAACTAAGTTTGATCAAACTAGCAAGTCTCATAGAAATCTCTTTGAAGAGAGGCACTAGAGATCTCAATCTTCAGAATAAGCTGATGGATGAAGTGGATTGGCTGCCAAATTCAATAGGAAAACTTTCATTTCTTACTACTCTTAACCTATCTGAAAACAACATACTTTCCATTCCTGCCACAATAGGATCTTTTTCTTCCCTAAAAACTCTGGACTTTCGAGCAAATCGAATAACCGAGCTCCCCAACTCCATTGGTGATCTCCTCAGCCTATGCTACCTCAACCTGAGAGGCAACCAGCTCACTTCACTTCCCCCTACTCTTGGAAAACTAGTAAATCTAGAAGAGCTTGACCTCAGCTCAAATAGGCTTTCCAGTCTCCCAGATTCAATTGGTCATCTCATCAACTTAAAGAAGCTAAACGTAGAAGCAAACAATATTGAGGAGCTCCCTCACACCATTGGAAACTGCAATTCACTTTCAGAGCTTCGAGTGGACTACAATAACCTCAAATGCCTTCCTGAAGCAATTGGTAGGCTTTCATCTTTAGAAATCCTTTCAGTGAAGTATAACAACATCAAGGGTTTACCAACGACAGTGGCTTCCCTCTCCAAGTTAAAGGAGGTTGACGCCAGCTTCAATGAGCTTGAATCAGTCCCTGAGAGCTTATGCCTTGTGACAACACTTGTGAAGCTTAATGTAGGAAGTAACTTTGCTGATCTCCAGTCATTACCAAGGGCCATTGGCAACCTTGAAATGTTAGAGGAGTTAGATATTAGTAATAACCAGATCAAAGTGCTACCGGATTCTTTCGGAATGTTGACACAGCTCTGTGTTCTTCGAATGGAAGAGAATCCTTTAGAGGTTCCTCCCAGACATGTTGCAAAGATGGGAGCACAGGTAACTCTTACCGTTAAAAAATGTTTTCAACTTGTCTTTGATTTTTTGATATCAAATATGCTGTTACTGTAATTGGAATAGGCTGTGGTGCATTACATGTCTGAAATGGTTGCAAGGAAGGCAGTAAGGTCTCCTGCAGCAAAGTTCAAGAAGAAATGCTCTCAGTTCAGCTACTTCTCAAACTCAAGTAAAAGGAAGCCTGGTCACCATGATATTGGGAAGTTTTAGGCTTTGTTTGGGACGGCTTTTCTATTGCTTTTTAAAACCGTTTTTTAGTTTAAAAATTAAAAATTTTATATTAAAAAGCTGTTTTAAAAAGCATTAAAAAAGTCGTCCCAAACGAAGTCTTAATTTTATAAAAACATTATAAAGGTTTGAATCATTTGCTTAATCTATTCTCATTTTTCTTTCTTTTGAGTCTTACAACTGCAATGTCTTGCAGGGATCTAAGATCTATATACTGTAGCACATGATAATCTTCTGGAGAGTAAGATCATAAGGAAGAATTAGAGAGTCCTCCTCACAGAAGTTGTGCTGCAGAATATAATTACTAATTTCATATTACTAATTTACATTCACCCAAGCAATCTTGGATAATAAAATATAACTGTGAATACCACTGCATGAAGAACCATGCATTCTTTGTAAATTATCTTCCATGCTCTAGTTAGCTTTCCAGTTGAAACACTTGCTTTCTGCATTAAAAAAGTAAATTTTGCATGGAAAAGACTTTGAATGGAAGAAACAGACAATAAACTGAGCAGTAAAATCAACCAGTTGATGAAATATACTTACATGATTTACTATTATATTACTGTTTTGAAAGAGAACTATAGGAATTGAAGCATCTGAATATGTGTGTGGTCTATATATATATATATCTATACACGTATATACATACGTATGTACGTATGTACATACGTATGTACGTAGATACATATGTATGTACGTAGATACATACATATATATATATATATAAAGTTATAAAAGTAATGCATATATGCATGCAAATAAATAAATAAATAAATAAATAATAAACTAAATAAAAAAAAATTCTAAACCCACTAAATGCCTCCTCACTTGTTCATTCTCTCACTCCCCCTCTCGAAGCCACTCATCCATTGTCTTTTCTTCTTACTTTCTATGACTCGCTCTTTTTTCTTATTCCTTTCTACTTCCTATTCTCCTCTTCCTTTCAATCTCAATACCTTTCTCAAACACATTGATCTCTTTCTTGCATGTACATGATTGACCATACCACATGAATTGCAAACAATTAACAATGCACATGCATGTAAACGAGCATGCATGCATGCAAGACATCATACATGCATATCCGGATTTGTGGTGGATTTGCAACGGACTTACAAATAAGACGACGAATACTTCTGGGAAAAAAATTTCCACCTCAAATCACCGACTTTCCTATAGTGTGTGCTCACACCTACGTGTACAAGTACTTGTATTCTTGTATATGCATTAAGTGGTCGTGCATGCATTCAATCACAACTACATGCATGCATGATATGTTGTGCTTGTAAATGAATGATTGCACAAACAAATGATAGGCAGTGCATATAATCATTAATTAATGCCCATTGTTCTAACACCAAGAGATACCATGCACGTTATGCATGCCTTCATGCCTTTTAGTGCTTTGTTAGAGCCTACTATTCTCGTGCTTTCTATTATCCAAACATTAATATCTAAGAATTTTCATGCACTCCTTTGAAAGGAGCCGGGAGGAAATTCAAATTCTCTTCAATGTTATGCATCACCAACTGCCTTTTGGAGTAGGACAAAATATATAGCATAAATTATTGCCATAGTGCATTATGCATCACATGCATGTAAGCCTTTGATGGTCTGATTGGAGCCAATTTAAAAGATGAAATATTTCAAAAATCACTCTGTCATTTCAACTAATTTTTAATTCTATAAAAAAAGATTAATTGATACCCTAGTAGAGCAACATGTAAAGTGAGGCCTTCACTTTAAGAAAGATACATAATCCTAATATCACGGCGCCCCAAAATTTAAAGTGAAAGAATTTCTTTTATTCTTATTTTTTCATATTATTATCTTTTTAATCTATTTTTATTCATTCATCACTCAGATGGATAAACATTCAGAGTTGGTTGATTGTATTAAAAAAATAAATATCAATGAAAAACATAGTTCACATTACTATACTAGTCAATATTTATATTATATCAATACAGTCCAAAATAATATATATAATAGCCTTTATAGACTATAAAAGAATATACATAAGCCAGAAGAATCGAAAGAAAACTAAAATATTATTATAGCTATGCTTCAATACATAGGCTCCTTACATTTACCTGAAATCATGTATAACCACGTAATAAGCATGAAAATCCAGCAAGTAATAAAGTCATACAATTGAAATCAATATAAGATAAAATAGAAACAGTATTCTTTAAATCATATAAGAAAATCTATAAATCAATATATATGCTATATGTATCGGTCACATATATCAATCAATCATTCTATATTAATCAATACATCATATTCATACATGACATCAGATTCAAACTAATAGCAATATTATATTCTTGTATAACTCAACCATATCAATCATTTTAGTACATATTACATTGCAATCTTATCATGTCAAATCATAGTACAACACTTTTCGACCCAATTCTAGTCTGCATTTTTTTCTACTTATTTTACCCAAAAATTCTTATATAAATATTTAACCTGTGAAAATACAATAAAATTATATCAAATTGTTTAGAATGAAAAAATCTATAATATATAAAAAATTATGTGGTGAAAGATTACGTAATCATGAGATAATTCCTTTTTGACATATTTAAGAGAGAAAAATCTATAGAAATCAAAATCATCGAAAACAGGAGTAAGAGGATAGTTGCTTACAATGATCAAAATATTTTTACAAAAGAAAGGATGGATGAAAACAACAAAAAATTATCTTTCTCTCTCCTTTGTCTCCCCTCTTCCTCTCCCTTCACCCTTTCCTTCCCAATCAAGTCACCGTTGAAATGAGGGAGGTGGAAGCATTGGAATACTTTAATGCTTATGTTTAGAATAAAAATATTGTTAGTTGCCTAGTGTCACAGTGCTCATATCCAGCGTTGTAGCACTACATGTCAAATCCAGAATGACTGTAGGACAGAGATTCAAATGCCGCAGCGGCATTTTCTATCATTGTAGTGCTCTCAAACCTAGCAACATAGCACTCAAAAGTATAACGCGGAAGCGTTCCAGTTCAAACATAAATTAAAAAATTTATATTTTAAAACACTTTTTTATTTTTGGATTGCTACACCTAATCCCAAGATAAGAAACAATAAAAGGCCCAAATGGCTGGTTGCAGTGTATCAACTTGCAAAAGGTATCCTGGGATTAATAATTCAATTATGAGCATCTTCAAGATATTTAACTTTGCATTTACATATATAAGGACTTTAAAGCTTTTGATAAAAAAGATAAATCCAACCAATATTCTTCTTAAGAATTATCCTATATGACAAGATTATCATTTCTACCTTTTGACCTTCATTAAATCTCCAAGCTATAAGTTCCACCATTGGAGCTTCCTTAAATTTCTAAGTTGTAAGCTTGACCAGCTGTTGGTGATTACAAATTATGATTTTATGAGATTATCACTACAGTTAATCTCTAAGAAAAATACAAGTACTCCAAGGCCCTTTAGTTTGATGATGCATTTAATTCTTTGTCATATTAAAAATCAAGCAAGATAATTTAAGCATCTTCAACTCCTATGAGGGGTATGGTTAGTGTAAATCATAGTTAAAGGCGTCTCACTATCATAGCCTTTAAAAAAGTTAAAAGAACAAATACTTTTGGGCCCTTTAACCTTGACGATGAATTCATTTCTTAGATTTTTTATGTTCATTTTTGTCTCGAATGTCACCAAACTTAACATTTTCTTAGCTCAATATGGATTGATTTGATGGGCATTGGTTATGTATTATCAAAGAATGTTAATTAAAAAGACCATTTAATTTATGTAGTTACTATCATCTATTTGTGCATAATGATTCCCTTTGTAAGTGTGCTAAAAATCCCATAGATATTAGTGCTCTCGAGTCTAAAATCTCATCATTAGCACAATTAATCCCTCTCCCTCAAATGGTTTCTATAAATATTACTATTTTGATGCTTTCTTCATATTTTTCTCCAAACCAAACATCTCCCTAAGAAAGTCAATAATGATATTAACATAATGAGTTACCTATTGTGTATAATCTAAATGGTCCTATTTTATGTGAGGGTAACTTTTAATTAGAGGTAGTTCTTACTCCTAATTGTTATCTTTCATCATTACTTAAAAATAATTTTATGCCTAATATCTTAAGAGCTCGGATGTATCAAAGTTTTGTTATTGATAATATTAGATCAAAAGATAGTCTCCCTTTATATTCTATTGTTTACTTCGTGAAGGTTTATATGATTCATTAAGATATATAAAGACAAGAATAAACAATACAAGAAGATCCCACATTACATTAAACCTTAATTAGCAGTCCTTCTACAAGGGATGGTAATTTCAAGTACTATGTTTCTTTTTTTCTTTTTCTTTTCAGGCAAAGGTCAATTCTATGTATCACCTTTTCACTTATTTCTCTTCTATTTCTCTTTTTCTTACTTCCTTTTTGGACTTAGGTTCCCACTTCTATGTCGTTGTTTGAAGTATGAAATTATTCCCTTTTATGTTGTAGGCACAAAAATTGAGCTATCATCAACAACCATTCACTCAAAGAGGCATTCATTTTAGGAGGACTCGACTCTCTCAACAAATGTTAACCCTAGATACAACCATATATTTTCCTCAAATAACCCTATCCAAACCACTGGAAGCAAACACATATAGAGTCTAATATGATGGTTCCATTAATTGCATTTGTCATTAGTTCATAATAAATCAACTTAAAAGACTAGTTTCTCACTATGAGAGGTACGCCCCTTGTTTGAGGCACTCTCCTTCATTGATTGGCCCAAGATGACCATTATGGAGGGCTTCTCCAAGCACTTGTCCCTAAGGACTGGCCTAGGGTACTAGGCAAAGGCATCCCGAACCACATTAAAAATAGATGGTCATGTGTATCTTTCATCCTAGCCCACATGACTGTGTCAAATTGTACTTGTCAAAATAAATCATATATTTTCTATATCGTTTTAGGTTTAACATTTCATTTAGCTCTCTTAACAATATCCATATAAATAAGGTGTTAAGAAAAATCTTTTGGAGTTCCTATCATTTTAA